CTGAAAACAAGACCAAGTTGCGACAACGAGGTCAACCCACTTCTATAAATCGAAAGGAAACTGCGACCATTCCGAGGGCCACACCATCTTGGTCTTCATATCTTCAACGTAATGTTGAGTTTTTTTCCTACAATGATTTGAGTTGACCACGTGATACTATTAAATTTCGCCTTTCATAAGATCTTTGAGTCCTAAATTAACTGTTGTTTCGATATTGTCTAGGTCTCATCAATATCCCAAACAGTAATTCCTTGATAAGTACTTAGTCATGCTTTTAACATGCTCATAACTAATATTTCGAATCGCTTAATGTGAAGCCAGATTTCAAAGAATCCATTAAGTTATTTGGGAAACACTCGAAAAATTGTTTTATATAGCAGTTGTGAACAAACCTGCGCATAGTATAAAATACTTAAGGTAACTTGAGGATAGCCAATAAATCACGATTTTACATTCATTTCTAACTAAATCAAGCAACCTTAATGACTGAGCTTTGCTTTAATTTAAGTGCAATGTTGACACGTTCATTCGAAAGTAGCTATCTATATTAGGTCACGTCAAGCTTGATGCATTCTTTAATCTTGGGGCCTGATGTTTCTTAGATTTTTAGATCTTAAATTTGTCCATCGTATTGTTTGTCGAAATTAGACTAGCTCCTTATTTTCCTCAATAATATAGTTAACCCGTCATTGTTTGGTGTCCCATAGCAAAATATTAGAAATAAATTTCCTTAATTGAAGAGAGACTTCATTTTATGGTGTCAGTTTGAATTAGAACTTAGTTCATAAACATACTTACATAAAAAATTTATAAATTTATCCTATATTACGTTTCACAAATGTTTCCTTTCTTAGGCTTTCTTATGATTTTTGCCTTGCCTAAAATTATCATCATTACCCTTTGGGGAATGTTAACTTTTACATTTATGAGAAGAATAAGACTTAACGATAGATAAGGTGATCTCTTTGTGCCTTACTAAATAGCTCAACTGTCAGACCTCGAAACAGATCGCAAAAATTTAATCACTTTCATCGGTGCTCATTATTCCTTTCATGAGTCGACTTTGGTTTGACCTCGTTTTAAAAATGGGATCTATAGGTCTAATGAGAAAATCATGCCTAGTATTGCTTTCTGCGTGTATTTGTTTTGCCGATTATAATTTAATATTAAAATGGATCTTTACTCCAGTTTACGATAAATCGTATTCATACAATTCTCAGATACTATTTTTAATTTATTCAATATCTATTTTACGGCTTCTCCTATCTCCGTCTGTAAAGATATCTGAAGTTTACTTTTGATTTAGGTCATTTTAAAGCTAGGGCAGGAGGAATGAGACTATTTTTCTTAAAGTAATTTTCAAAGGAAACATCCTCAGAACCCAAATTGGCAATTGTACCATGGAAACTGGTACGGAGCTTGGCCCATTTGAGCATTGTCTACCATTTCATATACAGCCATGGTCAAAACTGCACTCAAATATGAGTGGAAGGAATCCGTAACAAAAATCCGATGGAAGACTGCTTTTGAGTTGCGACTTGATTTAAGCGAAGAAAATTCTCGGCCTAGTGTCTAGTCAAATTTGTTAAAGAATGTTATCTTTCTCTGACAGCTCTACGGCAAGATGATCAGCACGTTTGATTCGGAGGTTGAGGAAAGGGAGCCAAGAACTTCTCTCAAATCAACAGTCAAAATTGTAGAGCTTTATTTTTTATGCTTTCGTTAAGGCCACTTTACGAATCCCTTGCAGACCATTTTTAATATGAAATGAAAAGTCGAATCAAACCTAGTAAGTGAAGACTGCTCATTGGTTTTCAATAGCCTATTTCTAACTCTTAGCTGTAATGCAAATCCAAGCACATGAAATGCTAGCTTACTACGTCTATTATGGAGACATGCAGTTTAGTCCAGATCGATCAAACCTTAGCGCTAGTTACTAGCATATGCATACTCTCATTCTCTCATAAGTGCAATATAAAATCAATTTAAACACCAAAAGAAATTAACCTTGGATATGAACCTAACCTGGGGCCACGGCTTCTATCTGCCTCCATCCGTACTCCTTTTTTCATCCGCCTCTTGATAATTAACTCTCTTTATGTATGATTATAGTATTTTTTGAGGATTCTGACTAACACGGACGATATTAAGCTTAATAGAAGACGTAAATTTTATCATGCTTTCCCAAATGCTACTGTTTATCTCTTCGAAATGTATCGATACAAATCTTTACTAACTTCTACCTTCATTCTCCTTATTGCTTTTCGTACGTTCTTTACTCCTTGCTCCTAGATGATTTCCTTGTTATCGGGCATATTTTGATTTTATTAAGGCTTCATTTTCTTTTTGGCTTTTCATTTATTTTCATGCCTACAAGCTGAGGTGGATGCATGCTACCTTGTCCCGGCTTTTTCGGGTCTTTTCTGTCCTTATTGGCGTGAAGACGCTCGGGGTGCACTGGTCGGTCTGACCAGCTTTATCGGAAGGACCCACATTCTACTCGCAGGCCTTCGCGCTTCAGCTTACCAGGTCGATGATCTGCTCAGTTCTGTGCATCAGATGCAAAATAATTCACGTTCTTTCTCGGCTTCACTGGGAGGCTCATATTTTTCTGGCTCTGTTGACCGTTTCTGTTCTATCATATCAGCAAAACCTAAGGAGACCGATAGTTATTGCATGGCCCTAGTCCCAGTGGATTCTGATGATGCCTTAGGGCATCCAGGTCGTATAACCCAGATCCTGGTGGACGGGGGCCTGGCAAGCAGCCAGCTAGCGATGAAGAGTCTAGCTGACATAACTGGTGAGCTTGCCTTTTAGTCATAAGCTTTTTACTTTCTATTCCTGAGATTATCCAGACAATACGACGCGTTATTCTCTCTTTTCTGGCTGTTCCAGGCGTCACTGTGATACGACCCAGAAACTCCGATTTAATTACTTCGATAGGTGTTGGTGTCTGTACTCTCCTGGCACTGGGAATGGATCCAACCGATTTGCTTAGTCTCCGCGATACTCTGGACAAGCCAGGCACATTAGCAACTTCCGGCTATCGAACTAGTGTCAAAGTCTTCGAGCCCTCCACAACTGTAGAGCAACGCAAGAACTTGCGTGCCGCCTGGAAAGAGGCGGTGAAACGCAGCATTGGCTGGCGTACCAACGGTGGTCTTGTCGATCTGGAGTCAGGCAAATCACCTGATAAGGTAATTCCCAGCTTCTGCCCTGTGATTTTCAATTTATATTTTGCGATATCTAATTTGTTTTAAAGAGTTTTTTGTTGTAAAAACACACAATTTTAAAAGCGCATACTGGATGCTATCCTTATGTGAATGCATAGGTATGTGCTTTAATGCGAGGATAATTACACCCACCACATTGCATCTTCCCGGAATCTTGCTCTTGTATCCACTTTTGCCACAAGTCCTCAAGCACTGATGTGACCCAGGCGAGTTCGAGACTCTGTTGCACTGGGAATAATAAGCGAA